AAGGCTGGAAATCCTTTCTTCTTTGACAGCAGAAAGAGGCAGAAGGCTCAGGATTATTTTTTTTTTTTTTTATCCCTTTCCTTTTGGCTACTTGCAGAATCCTAATGTTTTACACCTAACGCAGAGCCCCCCGGTCCCGCAGCCCCGGAAGGTCTTGCTAATGCTCTCCCTGCTTGCAGGAGTGGGATTACACCTATGTGCACAGCTTCTACCACTGTGCCCTGGCCATGGCCTTCGTGCTGCTGCTGCCCAAGGAGAACAAGAAAGCCGGGGGCGCCGGGACCCCCGCCAGGCTGGACTGCTCCACGCTCTGCTGCTGCGTCTGAGCCTCCCAGGCAAAGCGGGCCACTGGCTTTTCTGCTCCTGGGGTGATGGAGAGGTGCAACCAAAAGCAAAATGCCTGCCGGATGCATTTTCCTCTGGGACACCAGCATCTTTTCCCACCAGCTCTGTTCACACCTTGGGCTTTTCTTCCCTGGAAAGAATTCACCTTTCCAGCATCAGCCCTAGCAGAGGTTGTGCTTGCTGTGTAGCTGTACTTCTCCCCGGAGAAGCACCTGTCTGGGCTGTGACCCTGTCCCGGGAGACCCTTGCACTCTCAGGCCATGTCACCACATCTGTCCCCTGCACTGGCCCTGGGGGACCCGAGGTGTCCCCTCCATGCAGGTTTGCCCAGCCTGAGCACACAGGGCTTCGTTTGCAATGCCCAGTTAACAGAACCTATATCTTTGTGAGATACTATTTTATTTATGCATTCTCTTGATGTAAATAATATATACTAACAAAGATTTTGCAAGTGTGCTATGCCAGCATTTCTTACGCCATGCAAGAAAATTTCCAGCTCAGCTCCACTCAGTTGAGGGCAGATGCCAGTCCCAAAGTGCAGCTCCAGGCACAGCCACCCCCTCCCCTGCCCAAACCCCCCCCAGCCTGGAGGGAGCTGTGACATTGGGCACTTTGTCCTTGCAGACCTGGGCGGGCGGCGAGGGCAGCAGGTGTGCTTGGGGAGAGCACCATTAGTATGGAAAGTACAGGGAAAATTAGAGGCAAAGAAGCTCCGGGAGGGAGGGGGAGGGCTGTAAGCCTCTAACATCTCCTCTAACAGACTTATTTACTATAGCAGAAGTGTATGATTGATTTAGAGTGTCTGGGAAAAACGCCAAGACTATATGTCATGGGCAATTAGAGCAGTATTGATATACAGGGATGGCCACAGAAAGCCCACATTAAGCCTGGGTTCCTCTGGAAGAGAAATCCACCCCGGCCATTCATCAGAAAAACTTCCTGCGACGGGGCAACAACCAAAACCGAAACAGTTTCCAACAAAAACAGAAATGAATCATGAACCCCTGAGCATCCAAGAGTCACTGGCACGTGGTGGCACAGCCAACGCAGCTGCATGCAGAGGCAGCATGAGCCAAGAGTTTTCCAAGGGCTCACCAGCACCAACACAGCACACCGGGGCTCTTCCAGCATCCAGCCCCCGGGATGTTTTGCAAGATTCTGGGAGGGTTCACACACAACACTTTCCCCACTGATTGCACGCTGCTGGGGTACTTTGCCATGCAAGGACTGCTCAGGGCATCCCCCAAAAACAGTCCCAAGTGCTCCAACTCCTAATTCAGCAAGAAGCACCTTGGCACTGTACGCAGAGCTGGCTCCACGGGTGCGCAGCCACCTCCGGAGGGGTCACCCGCATGGGTGTCCCACGGCCAGAGCCACCCCAGCTCTCGCTGAGCCACCCCAAGCACATCTCTGGGTGTGCATTACCCCTGTGCAAATACTGACCCTCCCCAGGAGCCCGACCAGCAGTGCCAGCAGCCTCCATCCCTCCTCGCACCCTTTGTCACTCACTGCAACCGCTGATCAGAGGCAGCCACCCCCCCCCCAACCCATTTTGCAACTGTTTGGCCCCTCCTGGGCTGCAGTGACATGCATAACCCCGCAGTGACGGGCGTGGGGAAGCGCTGGGAGGAGAGGTGCTGGGTAGCTGCAATGCCTTACCGTGCCTGCACGGGAGGGGAAAAAGGTTGGCAAAGCCCATGCAAACATGGAGAGCGTATTAGCTAAGGTCCAGCTGAGTAAATGAAGGCTCCTGCTCCCACCTGCCATGTATTCAGGTGTTACACCAAAAAAAACAAAAAAAAAAATCCCCAAAGTGTATTACTTGCAATAAAATCCCAGGCAAGGTTTCCTTTTCCCCCTCTCCCTGCTGATGCCCCAGGGCACTGCTCCAACTGTGCCAACCATCCATCCCTTTGCACCCAGTGTGGGACCAGACCCACACTCAGGGCTGAAATGCAGCCGGGCACGTGGCGGGGTCCCTGCCACCACATCAGCCCTGCGCCACCGGCAGCACCCAGCACCCACGGGGAAGGTGCGCGGGCTGAATTCACTGTACCCAGGGCAGGATATCCCCTGCAATACAAATGCAAGGAAATATTATAAACATTTACAGCAACGTAGACAAAACAGTCTCTTGTAACCTTTTAGTGCTGCCGAGAGCTTTGCCTGTAAGAGCTCTTGAGCCCCTGCCAAAAATTCTTGCTGTTTTCATAAGAGTAGGTGTTTTCGTCTAAGGTGCAGTCTGAGTGCTGTGACCTTTGTCATGTCTGCTACTGAAATTTCCTGCTTCTCTGTTATTCTCTTCTTTGGTCAGATGATATGAAACC